CATTTTCTGCGACGCTGCCACATCTTCATAAGTTTTTCACTTTCCTTTTCCTTCTTACCGCTGAAGGATTGGACTCATCCAAAATCAAAGGGGAACACGAAAATTTGGCGAATTTGCAGAGTTGAGCTTCTGCAGTAGACAACGCTGCGTTTCTATAGTAAACTGCAGTCTAAATGAGCAACAATAGTCAAAAGGAGAATGAAGCAAAACCATACATTAAAAATGAACAAACACCACATTTACAGGCGAAGTCAGAAGGAACACCGCAAAGAAACTTCGGCGAACCATGTTTTAACTACACGGAAATTGAGCACCGATAGAATGACCATTCTACAGCAAGATGATGACAACAATGGACAAAAGTACGATTAATAAGACGAAATGCATACTGACGGCAATAGAAACGAAAAGTGGAAGATGAGAAGCTTGGGCGGGTGCACTCAGAATAGCAAGAATTTGATGATTGCTTGAAAAAAAGGACCAGCGGCGGCTGCGGGCTGCCAGCGGCTGCTATAAGCTGCCAGCGCCGGCTACCGGCGCGGTATGAAGGCACCCTAAAGATGAGATGTCGATGGTTTGAAAGCCTAACTGGAAGCTGGAAGTAGGGGGAGACTGAACAGCCAACATGTATTCCACTGTACTTTTGTAACCACAGCCATCAATACCGTCTTGTATTTATGTGCAAACAGTCGTATACGCACTCGAAAGTGCGTATATGGGTCTGGCAAATGCCAAGGATCACGCTTGATCGCTCTAGGATTCCATATACAGACACGTTTATGCCGATATACAGACGCACTGACTCATATGGGAGTGCTTGCGCTTTACATAGAGTTATGATATGATGAGACCACAAGAGCGGCCCTGGCTGGCCACAAAAGAAGTATGCATGAACATTTGATTATTGTACTAACCTGTAAATCAAGTTGATGCCTAATGTATGAAGAATCGCCAAATGGACCAGCATACTCTTGCGTTACTCGCGCTGAAAGTTTGTGAAAGTTTACTAGTCACTACACGGGGCGTGGTTGTATATGTCGCAAATAAGACTTCTGTATTGTTGATCAACTAAGCTATGAATAATGTGACTTACCCAATATTCCCTTAGAAGCTAAAATTGGTCTATCTCTGGTATCAAAGGCTAATGCGTTTTCCACAGAGAACTTCATTGTGTGACCGGCATGTTCACGAACCGAAAATGCCGAATCCTCAGTAGCACGCAGCGTTCGCCACATCTGATAAGCACTGACAATATGGTTGACCGGTGTTTAATGAGCACTCACAGTGTTGAACTTTATTTGATGAAGGATCCACCTAGTGATCTGGCCATTATATCCAAGTATAATTGCATTTTCCTCACAGTTAGAATGATTCCAAGGCAGATAAGAAATCGCTCTAAAACAAGATTGAGTGCTAATTAGGTTCACTTCGTAGAACGTACTTGCCTAAATAAACTGGCCGAAACATTGGAATATTTCTGCCAGCCTAGGAAAGGTTTTGAGAATGCAATATTGAAGCTATGATCTCCCTAAACGCAGATAGAAACGGCGAAAGTATTCCTCACAGAAAATGATATATACCTTGACCGTATAGGTGTAACTGGTGTTGACAGCTTCACCACGACCGCAAACGCTTTGTTTTCCAGCATTCAGTGACATGTCAGCGTCACCATTTGTGCTGATGCCAGCTTTCAAGCCTAAGGTGAACGCCTAAATTGTGTAGCTAAACCACCAGAAGCTGACGGAAAAGATGGCAGCTTGCCTTAGGCTCTTTCACCACAAAATTGACAATGTAGCCATTACTGGAAGGCGTTGTGTCGATCAGTGGGATAGCATTTTCCATCAAACCGACTTCCTGTGAAGAGACTGACGCGAAATTTATGAGCGCTGAGCAATGGCAACTTCGCCAACCTGTAAGTGTTTCGCCGCCAGATGTGAATTGTGAACAAGTTCATCGAGAGTTGCGCTGCGATATAGCTCTGACACCTTAAACAAATCGATACCCATTCTGGATTCACTGGTGAAGCAGGATATGGTACGAGATGCCTTTTCACTGTAGCACATAGAAGCTTCCATAAAATTGACTGAACCTCTTTGACTAAAGCGTCATTTTTTGTGATCCTTATGCCGTGAAACTGCACTGCTTCAACTATAGTTGGTGCGATATCCGCTTGCCCTAATAAGACCGAAGCCTGAAAGCAAAAGTAGACACTAGTTTCGATGATAAAAAGAGCTATGTTTCATTAGTTGCTTTTTTACCAAACAGGTACCACAATTATTTGACAGTGAATGACACGAAAGGACACAATAAGAACATTATGAGAGCCCTCACCTTATGAAAGGTTTTATCGCCCATGTACCAGACGTGTTGACAGCTAAATAGTTATTTGAATCGTTTGCATATTCTAGTACAGATACTAATATAGCAGATACAGATTGAAATCGATAAGGAAAA